CTTGGAATCAATCCATACATAGTTGGGATAAGGTGAAACAACACTTCTGGGGAATATTCCATGATAATTTAATAGCAGATGTAAAGCAACTTAAAGCTAAAATTCTGGAATCTCTAAATGCTGTAGATCTACACACCCAACAAACAGCCATATGGAAGGGCATGCAAGAACATCTCTCCTGGATTGACCCCTACTCCTGGGGGTCATTCCTTGATTGGAAAAGAATGTTATTGGTTACACTCATGTTTGTCTTATGTTATTTACTAATTCTAGGATGCAAAGCTGGAATACAAGCAGTGACCACTGGGCCAGACAACTCTGTTCTTGCACATATCTGTGCTCTTCAATCGACAAAACCTGATGCAAAAAAACAGAAAAGGGGGAGATGTTGGAGTTCAGTTAGGGTGGTGGGAAAAGTTGTTAAATGGATGAAAACCATCTTGGAAGGCCAGAAGATCTTGCAAAAGCCTTGTAATAGGATTTGGCTGAAGGCAACCAGATTGTCTTATCTGGTGCCTGAAAGCTTAAGTTAGATAAATAGGGAATGTAAAGAAACTGATTTGATAAGTTAGTTTACTTAGGTGCTGGAACATGGCCTTTAATCATCTGTAAGACTGCTATCTCTGGGGAGGGTGATGATGTTAATTATCCATGAGTGTATTGACTCAAAGCCTTTGTCATTAAATCTATACTGAATAAAATGCCTGCAGCACCAGCTTGTGAGGGCCCTGGCTGCTGACTCTTTATAGCACCCTCCTCAATGTCTGTAAATGACCTGGTCCCCTAGCCCACTCTGTCACTGGATATCTGTGCCTGAGTGCATTTGTTCATCTGTCGCTGGGTCAGTGTCCCTGGGTCACACTTGACAGTTTGTAGCCACAAGTCAAGCAATACAGGTAATTCCAAAGACTGATATCCTATGGTTTAATTTAAAATAATCCTCAAATTACACAGCATATATATGTATCAAAACATTAAATTGTACCCCATAAGTATATACAGTAACAGTGTGTCAATAAAAATTTTTTTATAAATTAAAAATATAATAATAAAGAAAATCATCCTCAATGGTAATGTCTCCATATGCTTGGAAAAAACATGCAAATTCTTTGTGAAAGATCACACCTTAATTTGCAATCCCAGAATTTTGGGAGGCCGAGGCAGTAGGACTGCCTGAGCCCAGGAGGTCTGGGTCACAGTGAGCTATGCTAGTGTCACTGCAGCCTTGACCTTGATGGATAACATTCCAAGAAAAATAAATTTGTAGTCATGATTCTCAAATCACAAGTGAAAACAGACACAATGAGTAAAAATCAGCAAGGAAGAAAACAAAACCTAAAACTAGACAGCAGTATCAGATCCACAAAACTTTAAGTATTGAAATTATTAAATACAGGTTATAAAGTAATTAGGTTTAAATGTGTGTCATGGCTTTATTTTCAATTTTAAAAATTTATGCTTTTTATGGTACCTAGTAGGTGTATATATTTGTGGGATAAATGAGATGTTTTGATACAGGTATGCAGTGTGAAATAAGCACATCATGGAGAATGGGGTATCTATTCCCTCAAGCACTTCTCCTTTGAGTCACAAAAAATCCAATTATACTCTTCATGCTATTTTAATATATACAATTACTTTTGACTATAGTTACCCTGCTGTGCTATCAAAGAATAGGTCTTAGTCATTCTTTCTAATTCATTTGTTTGTAAAAATTAATTTAATTCATTTAATTAATTCATTCATTAACCATCTCTACCTCCCCCAACCCTCCTACTACCCTTCCCATCCTCTGGTAACCATCCTTCTAGTCTCGATGTCCATGAGTTCAATTGTTTTGATTTACAGATCCCACAAATAAATGAGAACATGGACTGTTTCTCTTTCTGTGTCTGGCTTGTTTCACTTAACATAATGATCTCCATTTCCAACCACATCGTTGCAAATGACTGAATCTCATTCTTTCACATTCACAGCTGAATGGTGTTCCCCTGTGTAAATGTACCACATTTTATTTTCTTTTCTCTCTCTTTTTTTTTGAGACGTATTCTTTCTCTGTTGCCCAGGCTGAAGTGTGTGATCTTGGCTCACTGGAACCTTCACCTCCCAAGTTCAAACGATTTCCTGCCTCAGTCTCCCAAGTAGCTGGGATTATAGGTGCCCTCCACCACACTCAGCTAATATTTGTATTTTTAGTAGAGATGACGTTTCACCATATTGGCCAGACTGGTCTGGAACTCCTGACCTCATGATCCACCCCACCTTGGCCTCCCAAAATGCTGGGATTACAGGCATGAACCACCACGCCTGGCCTGTACCACATTTTCTCTGTTCATTCATCCATTTATAGACACTTAGGTGGGTTCCAAATCTTAACTAGTGCAAACAGTGCTGCAACAAACATAGGAGTGAAGACATCTCTTTGATATACTGATATCCTTTCTTCTGGGTACATTCCCAGTATCGGGATTGCTGGATCATGTCATGGCTTTATGGTTGTCTGCTAATACCCACTCTTCATCTCTAGCAACAGAACTCTCAAGTATCAGCTGAGCACACATGGACCCAGCTAGAGACAGTCTTTCTCAGTTTCTCTTGCAGCTTAATGGAGCTGTGTGACTGTGTTCAGGATGAGGGTGTGTAAGCAGACAATAATAATCTTTAATAAAGTTAAAAAAACAAGATGGGGCTGGGCGCAGTGGCTCACACCTGTAATCCCAGCACTTTGGGAGGCCAAGGCGGATGGATCACAAGGTCAAGAGATCAAGACCATCCTGGTCAACATGGTGAAACCCCGTCTCTACTAAAAATACAAAAAATTAGCTGGGCATGGTGGTGCGTGCCTGTAATCCCAGCTACTCAGGAGGCTGAGGCAGGAGAATTGCCTGAACCCAGGAGGCGGAGGTTGCAGTGAGCCGAGACCGTGCCATTGCACTACAGCTTGGGTCATAAGAGCGAAACTCCTTCCCCGCACAAAACAAACAAACAAACAAAAAAAACAAGATGGAATTAAAATACTTGATGATATTAGAGTATGACTTGGGAGATGGGTAGTAAGAATAAAAATGTTCTGAGGTCTTTGATTATTTTGGTAATGAGTAAAGATATTAATTACATTAGGCTCTGATAAGTTTGTGTGCTACAATTTCCAGATTAGCCTCTAAAAGGTGAGATTTGACTTAAATCCAGGATCTCTGTTTCTAAATAATTCTGGAGGAAGAAAATTCTTAGAGTGCTTTGGCTTTTCAGCTACAGAGGAGGATTGCTGCAAGTCTGGGACCCAACCTGTCACTGAGCTTTCCCACACACCTGAGCTTCTGGAACTTCCTATCGCTTCTACCGGGCAAACTCACTTCTGGTCCTTTCCCAGGACAACCCTGACCCTTTCTGATTCTCCATCTCACTCATTCAGAGCTCCTTCATGTCTTCAGCTACCTCCTGTTTACCAGCTTCCTTCTAACAGAGCTTGCCTGTCAGGAAGGCGTGTTCGCCTACAAAAAAAAATATCTGAGAGATTGCGTCTTCCAGGAAGCTTTTTCTCATTAATGGGGGAAAATGGAGACAACTCATGTTGGTCATTGCTATGGTTGGGATGGGTGTTAGGCCCTGCCAAGTCTCATGCTGAAATTTGATCCTCAATTTTGAAGGTGGAGCCTGGTGGGAGGAGGTTGGGTGGTTGAAACAGATCCCTCATGAACAACTCTGTGCCATTCTCAAACCAGTGATTTCTCATTCTTAGTTCGCACATGAACCGGTTGTTGAAAAGATCCTGTCACCTCCTCCAGCTTCCTCTCTCTCTGATTATATGATCTGTACAAACTGTCTTCCCTTCTCCTTCCGCCATGAATAGAAGCTTTTTGAAACCCTCACGAGCGCAGATGTTGGTGCCACGCTTCTCATACAACCTATAGAACTGTGAGCCAAATAAACCTCTTTTCTCTATGTCACCCAAAGTCAGGGATTCCTTTATAGCAACACCAATGGACTAAGACAGAAAATACAGATGGTACATTGGAACCCCATCAGCCTGGTCAAAAGATGCCATCTCAGATCTCCCCAAATCCTCTGCTCATTTGGGTCTCTTCACTCATGCTCGTTTAGCTGACTGCATGTCCTTTCTGCTGGCCAAGTGTCCAGACCAAACTCAAGGCTCCTACGGTATGTGGACTGTTGATCTCCCTCCTTCCATCAGACTTATGTCCTGATACGGCACTGTGCCTCTCCCTGCAGTGTGTACTCTCCTGAGAGATGCTTCCTTGGAACTGATGAGAAGGCATATCAGAAGGATCTCAGGGTGGAAAGACTCCTATAGAGCCCTCTCAAGACAAAAACAAAACAGAGGGGAACTCCTATGGTTGAGGGTTAGAAGGAGACCCTACCTTCCTTCACCAGCTATGGGTCTGACAGGGGGCATATTTAATACTCTCCCCTGCCCTCAGTTCCCATGCCCCAAAGACCCCAGAAATGTTTTCATTATCTCTCTTCATTATATTCCTTCAGTGTGCATTGTTGAGTGCCTAATGCATACTCAGCAACATTCCATTTGTTTCTGCTCATAACCTAGTAGCCCAGATTCCTAGTTACTGGTCTCTTTTGGGTCCCCTTTTACTGCCTGCTGCAGAGATGTGAGGTCCCACCCCCTCGGCTCAGCTCATTAGGGCTTCTTTCATGTTAAAGCAGGCTCACAGGACTTCCTGACCAGAAAACAAATTATTGAGCTGGAACACGTTTCTAACCCAATCCTTGCTTCAAAGGGTGGGTCCCTTCCACTCCTTGATCTTATCCCATTCTAATTCCTGCTGCAACCCGGCCCAGCACCCTGCCTAGTGTGATCATGTCATTCTTCCTTCTCACCTTCCTCTTGACCCCTGCTCTATTCCTTCCCAGGCTTGGTATCATTCTGTCACCTGCCTGTAGTTGGCAGACTGTCAGGTCAACTGCCCCACCTCTCCCCAGGCCATATGAAGCTATAAAGGCCTCTGCAGCCCTTTCACAAGAGAGAAAGAGGCAGCAACTACATTGCCTGGAGGAAACTTAAGGAACCCAGGCACCCAGCTGCCCACCCCCAAGCCCAAGTTCTTCCCAGGAAGACAAACGTAGGAGACCCACACTCCTGGAAGCATCAGCTTTTATCTTTTCACCCTGAAGTCCCCTTTCTCAAGAATCCTCTGCTCTTTGCGCTCTAGTCTTGGCACATCTAGGACCCAGGCATCGTGCTTTCCAGCCACAAGGAGACAGATGAAGATGCAGGAAGGAAATGTTCTCCTTACATTTTGGCTACTATTGCTTTTAGAAGCCGGTGAGTGATTTTATTTAAAAGTGGGTGGTCTGAGAACTTTTGAGGAGTTAGGAGAGATGTGACCACTACTGGGACCAGCTCTATTTCTCTTCCACAGAGCGAGGATCATCATTTGACTTTAATCACTTCAGCCTAACAATGTAGTTCACGTGGGAGGCCGTCAGTCACAGTGGTTAAAATTGGGCTCTGGTCTCACATTGCCTACCTCTGAATTACAGCTCCATCTATTAACTGTGTGCTTTGGGTCAGTTGCTTCTCTGTGCCTCAATTTCTGCATCTTTAAAATGGTAACAACCTGTGTGATATGGTTGGGGTTTTAAATATTAAGAACAAGATGAGTTGGCTGCTTTAAAAATATCACTCTCCTGGCGGGGCACGGTGGCTCATGCCTGTAATCCCAGCACTTTGGGAGGGTGAGGCAGGCAGATCGTTGAGGTCAGAAGTTTAAGACCAGCCTGGCCAACACGGCAAAACTGTATCTCTACTAAAAATACAAACATTAGTTGAGCGTGTTGGCTCACACCTGTAGTTCCAGCTACTTAGGAGGCTAAGGCAGGAAAATCATTTGAACCCCGGAGGCAGAGGTTGTAGTGAGCTGAGATGGTGCCTCTGCACTTCAGCCTGGGTGACAGAGTAAGACCCCGTCTCAAAAAAAAATAAAATAATAAAATAAGGTCAGGCATTGTGGCTGACATCTGTAATCCCATCACTTTGGGAGGCCAAGGCAGGCAGATGTATTGAGGTCAGGAGTTTGAGACCAGACTGGCCAACATGGTGAAACCCTATCTCTACTAAAAGTAAAAAAATTAGCTGGGCATGGTGGCTCATGCCTGTAATCACAGCTACTTAGGAGGCTGAGGCAAAAGAATCACTTGAACCCGGGAGGCGGATGTTGCAGTGAGCCGAGATTACTCCACTGCACTCCTGCCTGGATGGCAGAGCAAGACTCCATCTCAAGAATCAATCAATAACAAAAAATGAAATAACATAAAATATTACTTTTCCATATTCTGCAAACTCTATTTCTCTTCTACCCCTACACCTAATTCCACATCAGCCTCCCATGTACAGGCTGGGGAAGTTGAATGTCTTCATCCTTCAGGGAAATAAAGGGCAAAAACTTGACAAACCTTAACTGCAGCTGAGCCTCCAAGTAGTTAAAAACCTTTCCTCTACCTTTAGACCTTGGTTTACAGCCCTGAATCCTGGGAGCTCTTATGTATTTGAGCTACATATAATTTGTTCCTCTCCAGCCTCGGCTGTAGTGATCAAGGGCCCTGGAGCTTTCATGCATGTAGTCACCTGGCTTCTTGCTGAAGAGCAGACACCTGGGCCCCATCTCAAACTCTAATTCATTTCGTCTGGAGTGATTTGCCTAAGAATCTTTTTACTTAAGAATATTTTCAACATGCTCCCTTAAGTAATTCTGATATAGGTGTTTTCTGAATATTATTCTGAGAAATATTTTTCTAAGATGGAAGCAATATTACTTAAGAATAAATTGATCAGTACATACTAGCTTCACCTAGTCCTATAATTCTTCTACATTACTTTTTATCTGTATTGGACCTTGTAGAGCAGAATGTGGAATAAGCTTACCTACCAGTAAAACCAGGTGATGTAACTCGGTGTTGGGGTGTGTGGGTGACTTAGCTGAGTCCCCACAAGTGCAGATTCAGTAGCCTGGGCTCAGTTTCCTGTCGCACTACTCACTAGCTGTGTACACGCGGGCCGGTGTCACCATTTTTTAATCCTCAATTTCTTCATTTCAGCTGGTGATACTAATAGCATCTATGTTACAGGGCTGTGGTGACCAAGAAATAGAATGATTTATGCTATGAATTTAGCCAAGCAGTAAGCACAAAGTTTATATACACAATGTGTATTTGTCATTACATGATTTCTTCAGCAATAAATTCCAGTGGGACTAGCTCCTCTGCCAACACTGCATTCAGTGTGACCACCACTGGGGCCAACACAGCCACCAGCTCTGGGTTCAGCGTGACCTCCAGTGAGGCCAGCACAGCCTCCAACGAGGCCAGCACAGCCACCAGCTCTGACTCCCACAAAACCGCCAGTGGGACCAGCACAGCCACCAACTCTGAGTCAAGCACAACCTCCACCGGGGTCAGCACAATCACCAAATTTGAGTCTAGCTCAACCTCCAGTGGGGCCAGCACAGCCACCAACTCTGACTCCAGCACCACCTTCAGGGGAACCAGCACGACCTCCAGCGGGGTCAGCACAGCCACAAACTCTGAGTCCAGCACAACCTTTAGGGAAACCAGCACAGTCACCAACTCTGAGTCTACCACAACTTCCAGGGCAATCAGTACAACCTCCAGTGGGGCCAGCACAGCCACCAACTCGGAGTCCAGCACAGACTCTGGTAGGGTCAGCACAGCCACCAACTCGGAGTCCACCTCCACCTTCAGTGGGGTCAGCACAGCCACCAACTCTGAATCCAGTACAACCTCCACTGGGGCCAGCACCATCACCAACTCTGAGTCCAGTACAACCTCCACTGGGGCCAGCACAGCCACCAACTCTGAGTCCAGTACAACCTCCACTGGGGCCAGCACAGCCACCAACTCTGAGTCCAGTACAACCTCCACTTGGGCCAGCACCATCACCAACTCTGAGTCCAGTACAACCTCCACTGGGGCCAGCACAGCCACCAACTCTGAATCCAGTATAACCACCAGTGGAATCAGCACAGCCACCAACTCTGAGTCCAGTACAACCTCCACTGGGGCCAGCACAGCCACCAACTCTGAGTCCAGCACAACCTCCAGTGGGGTCAGCACAGCCACCAACTCTGAGTCCAGCACAACCTCCAGTGGAACCACAGTCACGAACTTTGAGTTCAGTACAATGTCCAGTGGGGTCAGCACAGCCACCAACTCTGAGTCCAGCATGTCGTCCAATGGGGTCAGCACAGCCACCAACTCTGGGTCCAGCACAACCTCTAATGGGGTCAGCACAGCCACCAACTCTGGGTCCAGCACAACCTCTAATGGGGTCAGCACAGCCACCAACTCTGGGTCCAGTGTGACCTCGGGAGGCTCTGGAACATCCGCTCTGACTGAAACGCACACAACTTCTGATAGAGTTAGCACAGGCGCTACTACTGCAGTGAGTGAGGCGAAGCCTGCTGGGTCCCTGGTGCCGTGGGAAATCTTCCTCATCACCCTGGTCTCGGTTGTGGTGGCCGTGGGGCTCTTTGTTGGGCTCTTCTTCTGTGTGGTGAGTAGCTAATATGTAGGAAAATGCCTGGGGAAGGGAGCAGCAGAAGCACAAGGAAATGGGTGTGAATAGAAGGGGTCTCAAGTCAGGGGTGGGTGGGGAGGAGGGAGATCAGGAGAGAGTTACGCAGAGAAATGGTAGGTCAGTGTAGAGGAAGCTGGTGACCTGCGGGAAATGGGTACACAGAAAGGACTGGAGAGAGAAGAACTGGGTAAGGAGAATGATTGGAAGGGAAGATTCCAGAAGATGTCCATGGGGAAGGCTTGGGAGACAGGGGTGCAATTCTGAAACTATTGACTCTTCTTTTTCTAGAGAAACAGCCTGTCCCTGAGAAACAGCTATAACACAGCTGTGTAATGCCCCATGGGCTACACACTCTGGAGGGAATCATGGAGCCCCCCCACAGGACCAGGTGGAGCCCTAACTGATTCTGGAGGAGACCAGTATCCTTAATAGCTGTGGAGATGAGCGGGAGGTACAATGGGCTCTGAGCAGCCCCCGAACCAACATTCTTCAGGGAGGAAGAGACCTGGGGACCCAAGACCTGCTTTCCTTCATTCACTCCAGGAGACCCCTCCCAGCTTTGTTTAGGATCCTGGCAATCTTGAGGGAGACATTCCTCACCTCTCTTGCCTTTAGCAGACACTGGAAAGAGGATACCATATCACTCATTTAGAAATAAATACATCTAACACACATGTCAAAGAGAAGCTGTGTGCGCCCTGCGGTGGGTGTCTCTAGTTCTGAGATGAACTTCTCAGTTATAGGAGAAAACCTCCATGCTGGAATCCATCTGGCATTCAGAATCTCCACAGTCAAATCCAGAGACCTCATTCTTACTTGTGTGTCTGCATTTTCTAATCCTTTTTGCTCCAGGCAAGATCCCTGAATCTCCCAGACACCCTGGTTGGCAGGAGAATTCACTTGGGAGAGATGAGGAGGGAGGGCCTGGATGCTATGGGCTCATGCATGACTCCTGTGATTAGGCTGCGGTATATGAAGAGCTGAGAGCAGGATGAGGGGGAGGCCGTACAACTACCTGCTGTGTGTGTGTGTGTGTCTGTGTCTGTGTCAGGGAGGGGGAATTCATTTGAAGTCGAGGTTCCTAGGGCATTGCCATGTGCTCCAGGCCTGACAAACCATCAGGGTGGAGGTGCTGGTCTCCCTCAGAGTGCTCCCTTGGGGAGAAGAGAGACAGTGCTTCCTGGCTTCCCAAGGGAAACACTTTCTGGCCGTTAGGGTGGAATCTTCCAGGAGGCTCTTGGAAAAGACCCTGAGATTCTCATAAATCCACTCCCAGAAGAGCTGCACATATCCCTTTTAGGAGTCCAGGGAAGAGGATCCTCCAGGTCTTGGAAGACAGAGGGGAGCTAGGACAGAGCGCTCAGCAGAGAATTAGCATCTGTTGGTGGGTTCACCCCAACTCACAGCAGTAGAAACTGCTCCATCTTCCACCACTTATTGGGTTTCTCCAGTGTCAGCAAACCAAAGGGTTGGATCTTACCAGTGTGACTATAGGAAAACAGCCTGCTGCATGGCGACAGTGACACCATCTTGCAGTGAAACCACCATGATGGCAATTTTTCTTTTTTTTAGATAGAGTCTTGCAGTGGTGCAATCATAGCTCATTGCAGGCTTCAACTCCTGTGCTCAGGCAATCCTCCTGCCCCACCTCCTGAGTTGGTCCTGTGCCACCATACCTGGCTAGTTTCTAAAAATTTTTGTAGAGACAGGGCCTCACTTCATTGGACAAGCTGATCTTGAACTCTTGGCCTCAAGTGATCCTCCTGCCTTGGCCTCCCAAAGTGCTGAGATTACAGGTGTGAGTCACTGCACCTGGCCGGATGACCAATGTTTGACTCCTGCATACCAAGGTGTTCTGCATCAAGGCCTTAAAACAATGCCTGTAGCGTAATTAACCTCTCACAAAGATGCTAATCTAACCTCCCCAGCAGTCATGGGTTTCGGCAGGAAAGTCTGTGATGTGACCAGTTGCACATGTTTTACCTAAAAGCTTACTCTCGAAAGGATATTTTTGGAGAGGGAGTGCAGGAATCCACCGTCTTATAGCCACCTCAGACATCACTTCTGCTTGGAAGTCTCCATTAAATACTTCTCTGTGAGAACCTGGATTTGTCAGTCTCTTTCTTCGGTCTCTGTTCCCCTCAGCCTGTAGGGGTATGTTTGTGTAGACCTGCTCATGGTAGAACATTTGGTGATCCAGCCAGGAGCTGAGAGAACCAGGAATGGGTAAGGAGAATGAAGTACCTGTGAGGAAACCCCAGGGTGGCAGCCACGTCTGTGTAGGGTCGGATGGCACAGGGGTTCGATACCTGTGCACCTCTGTGTGAGCTCAGGGAGGCCTTGAAAATGCCAGGTGGCCTAGAGCAGCTATTCACTGAAAGCCACTAGTGCACTGGGGTAAGGAAGGGTGGCCAATAGCCGCTGCCATGGGTTGGCTGTATCTTTAAGCAATGAAGGTCCAGCCAGCAGCAGAAGCCATAATTAAATGTCTAGAGAAGGAATTGCAACTAGAAAAGGACATGTAGACATATACCTCTCCAGGTCTCTCCTCGCATCCAACTTAGCAAACAACATGGAACACAAAGAGACAAAAATTGAAGCGTTAGGATGTAGATTTGTCCACCTAGGGAGAAAGACATGGACATGACGAAAAATCAGAACCATCATAAGTAAGCCCAATTGGGATATGAAAACTTGGAATCCCTGGTATTGTGATGAAGAGGAAGACTGAGGACACAGAAGTCACAGGTGTGGAGGGGATGGGGATGGTTGGCAAGCTGCTCCCTCACTCGAAGGAAAGCAAAACCCAACAACTGCAGCAAAATAGGGGTCAGCTGATACAGGAGACTCTCAGTGTCAGGGAATCTATGGTTGCAGAACTCTTAGAGATCACAAAGACCTTTAAACAACTACCTAGGGAATCTTGAGCTGCTTGGACGGTCTGACTGTGGGACACATGGGTTGATAATATTTTCTAAAACACGAGAAGCAGAAAAAATGGGTAACATCACCACCCTCGCAGCACTGCCCCAGCATTTGTTAAGGCAAAGTAGACACAAGGGAGTCAGAGCTTATGGACTGGATCATTCAAGCTATGGGGGAGGCTTGGCCTAATGCAGGAAACTTACCAGAAAGGACGACCTCGTGGCAGTCAAAAGAAGAGGCCCTGGGGCTTCTCTAAGAATTAGAAATGAGCCACGTCATCTACGTTTGGGTTTTTACAGGACTTAAAACAGTTTTTCCTGCAGGGTGTACCAGGAGAATGGTACGGCCATTTGCTGACTTTATTAAGTCCTACAAATGGGACAAGATGTATATGATGTGGGAAGACTGGGCACTGTGGCTCATACCTGTAATCCCAGCAATTTGGGAGACCGAGGCAGGCAGATCAGTTGAGGTCAGGAATTCGAGACCAGCCTGAACAACATGATGAAACCCCATCTCTACTAAAAATACAAAAATTAGCTGCGTGGTGTGTGTCTGTAATCCCAGCTACTTGGAAGGCTGAGGTAGGAGAACTGCTTGTACTCAGGAGGTGGAGGTTGCTGTCAGCTGAGAAGCCACTGCATTCCAGCCTGGGCCACAGAGTGAGACTCCATCTCAAAAAAATAAAAATAAAAAGTGCCTGGCACAATGGCTCACACCTGTAATCCCAGCACTTTTGGAGGATGAGGCTGGTGAATCACCTGAGATTGGGAGTTCAAGACCAGCCTGGCCAACATGGCGAAACCCCATCTCTACTAAAAATTCAAAAATTAGCTGGTGTGGTAGCAGGCACCTGTAATCCCAGCTACTCAGGAGGCTGAGGCGGGAGAATCTCTTGAACCTGGGAGGTGGAGGTTACAGTGAGCCGAGATCACGTCATTGCACTCCAGTCTGGGTGACAAGAGCAAAACTTCATGTCAAAGAAAAAAGACAAAAAATACAACAAAAAAGATGTATATGATGTGGGAGAAGCCATCACAGATTTGGGAGCAACTGAGAAAGCCAGGTACAGGGTGCGATTTGTAACTCAGCAAGGGCTGACAAAGGGGGAAAATAAAGCTCCACAGGAAGCAGTGGGGGAATGAGGAAACGGGACCAGTTATTGTCAAGCAGAGGCGAATGTGGCATGACTTATTGGGAGCAGAAACATTCTGAGAAAAAAATATGGAAAATATGAAAACTGCTGTGTTAGTAACCTTATGGAGGGAAGTACAGACTGAAGAGCCGTTTCGTCCCTTCTTCTCTGCCCCTCCAGCAGTAGTGGAAGATGACTCATCCCCTCATTCTAATGCTCCAGCCTATCAGGTTGAATTCACCCTGGCCCCAAGATTAGGAGTGGGGCCGTGGTCAACCCCATGTTGGAGGTGACCAGAGGCTCCATATTGAGCTAACCATTTACTGTCCTCTAAACAAAATGAGGAGAAGACTGTTTCCTTAGTAAACACGAAGGCAGAATGTATTTTAATTCATGGGAATTCATAAGTAAAATCTGATCAATGGTCTGCCATCAATGGTTATGGGGACAAACGATCTGGGTGAGAAGGTCTTTAACACATCTAGGTATTGGGAAAGATCCCCCTGCCCCATATATGGTGTTTCTTTTCCCTATTCCAGAAAACATTTTAGGCATGAGTATTCTGTTAGGAAAGACTTTGCAAACTTCAGTGGAAAAATTCAGATAGAAGGAGCATGTAGTGAAGACTGTTCTTGGGAGAGAGGCGAAATGGGAGCCCAAGCAACTTCCTGCCCCTACATGGGCTGTCAACATTAAACAGTTCACGTTGTCCAGGGAGCGTGCTGAAATAAGTGCACTTATTATCCTCCCAATAAGCGAAACAATCATCAGCCCAGCCCAAAGCCCATGGAAGAGTCTGTCTTTGTTCTCGCTCCCATCTGTTCTTTCTCAGTTTTGTTATCTTGTTGGCATTATGTCAACACTGAAGGTTTCACTGTGCTGCAGTAATGGATTTTCGTTTTTTTAACTTTTATTTTAAGTTCAAGGATTCAGGTGCAGATTTGTTACGTGGGTAAACGCGTGTCAAGGGGGTTTTTTGTACAGGTTATTTCATCACCCAGCTATTTAGCCTTGTGCCCATTAGTTACTGTTCCTGATCCTCTCCTCCCTCCCACCCTCCACCCTCTGACAGGCTCCAGCGTGTGTTGCTCCCCTCCATGTGTCCATGTGTTCTCATCATTTAGCTCCCACTTACAAGTGAGAACATGTGGCATTTGGTTTTCTGTTTCTACAGTAGTTTGCTAAGAATAATGGTTTCTACCTCCAACCACTGGCAATTTGTTTAAGTTCCTTATAGATGCTGGATATGAGACCTTTGTCAGATGCATAGTTTGCAAATACTGTCTCCCATTCTGTAGGTTGTCTGTTTACTTTGTTGCTAGTTCCTTTTGCTGTGCAGAAGCTCTTTAGTTTAGTTAGACCCCATATGTCACTTTTTGCTTCTGTTGCAATTGCTTTTGGAATATTTGTCATAAAATTGTTGCCCATGCCTATGTCCTGAATAGTATTGCCTAAGTTGTTTTCCAGAATTTTATAATTTTGGGTTTGACATTTAAGTCTTAAATCCATCGTGAATTAATTTTTGTGTAAGGTGTAAAGAGGTCAAGCTTCAATTGTTTGCACGTGGCTAGCCCGTGATCCCAGCACCATTTATTGAACAGGGAATTCTTTCACATTGTTTTTGTAAGGTTTGTTGATGATCAGATAGTCATGGGTGTGTGCTCTTATTTCTGGGTTTTCTATTCTGTTCCACTGGCCTATGTGTCTGTTCTTGTACCAGTGCTATGCTGTTTTGGTCTGCAGTAATGTCTTACGGCACTGGGTGCTCATCTACGGAATGGAGATGGGCAATCAGTCCTCAGAAGATGAAAGGCCCAGGGCCCACAGTGAAGTTTTTAGGGGTTACGTGTTGGGTAAGACTCCTTTCACACTGGGTGCAGTAACTGACAAAGCCCAACAATGTGAACTGCAGAAACAGTAAAAGAAATCCAAACATCTGTGGGTCTTTTGGGTCATTGGAGAGTATTCATCCCACATTTAGCCTAATTTTTGAGACCCCTATACAGACTTATTAGAGAAAGGGCACATCGGACCTGGATATACCACAGCAGGGAGCTTTGAACAGGCTGACCCGCTGGTGCAGCGGGCACAGGCCTTAGGCACCCTTTAGAGGGTATGGATAGGACTTTGGATGTTACTGCTGCTCCTGAGGGTATGAGTGGGACCTTATGGCAACTGCAGTCTAGGAAATCAGTCCCTTTAGGAAAGGAGCCGAAACCAGGTACTCTCCTGTTGAATAAGAAGTGCTATTAGCATAGAATGCTTTACAGCAGGTGGAACTGCTACCAAAGACCTTTCCCATGATTATGAGAATCAAGGTATGGCTAGAAGGATTTTTAAACAACCCACCTCCACTGTAGCCCCAACACCTATCTTGAATAAATGGCATGATTATTTGCAACAAGGAGGAGTTCTAGCAATGAGTCCCTTAATCCCAGAATTACATGCTGCATAAGGCTCTGTGACATGTGAACACCAAAGGATACCAGGTGAACCTCTCCAATTCAAGCACCGGACACAGTAAGCATCCAGATGATGCTTGGTGTACAGAGGACTCCAGCAGGGGAAACCTCTGTCCTTGGACTGCTGTTGATACATGGCCGCAAACTGATGCAATCGGGTTTGATACAGGTGGGCATCAGAGGAGCCAGCGGGATGAGATGCAAGCAGCCTGGTTAATAGTCACACATGAGCCTGGCCCCTGGTTCTTTGCATTCATAGCTGAGCTGTATTCAAAGGACTAAAGATGTGGCTGGCTCAACAGGAGCAAGAAAAGTGGATGATTATGCACAAACCCATATGGAGCATGAACATGTGGCAAGACATATGGGAAAAACTGCAACGCCTTGTGGCTGATTTAACTGTGTTTCACATGACTGCACACAAAAACCACTCAGTTCCAGGAAATATGGAAGCTAAAACCCTAACAAAAATTAGAAGCATCATGCCAGGTCAGGCCACTGAACTAGCGACCTGGGTACATAACAAAAAGCGGTCACAGGGGAGGGAAGGGGCTTCTAAAAAAAGAAGGTGGTCACAGAAGTGCAAGAGTAGGCTGGGGATGGTCATGTGAGCAGGATTGTTCTTAAAATATAGTGACCTAGTCCAGGTGCAGGTGCAATTCCAGCACTTTGGGAGGCTGCGGTGGGACGATTACTTGGGGCCAGGAGTTTGAGGTCAACCTGGGCAACATAGCAAGATCCCATCTCTACAACAACAACAAAAAATATATAGTGCCCTCCCAACAGCTCTTACAAATCATTTACCATGTTGTCTACTGTAGATCCTATCAAGCAGGACCGTATTTAGATATTCAGAGGGCTGTCCACTATGAAACAGATTGGCAAGTGGATTATGTAGGCCCTGTCCCTATAAGTCAAATGTGTTAACCTGCATGGTCACAACTACCGGACTGCTGCAAGAGTCTCCCTATAAGCAAGCTAATGAAGCCAGTACTATTAAAGGCTTAGAGGCTCTCAGTACTATATATGGATATCCCTGGCACATCGACAGGGACCGAGGGAACCATTTTGATGGATACGATGTGCAGGACTGAGCCAGGAAACGCGATACAGTATGGCACTTTTATCTCCCATAGAAGATTAACCTCCAAGCAGCAGGTTAATTAAAAGAAATACCAGTCTGTTGCAAGCACAAATTCAAACTTTAATTTGGGAAACCTACCTAGCACAGGTAGATGATGTGTTATCTGCAGACTTCATTTCTTTAAATTCAACTAAAGTGGGGACGCCTGCCCCATGTGACCGGCTAGGACAACCATCCCCAAGCCCACCACTGTTTCCAAGTGGTAACTGAGATGATTGCTTTGCTTGCTCCCAGACCTCATTGACAACCAGTGTATTTTGTACATGAAGATGGCAGCAGATACACTAATCGGGAGGAAACACATTCTGGGGATGGAATGGCAAATACCTCCAGGCTGGATAGGCTATTTCCTGCTAGAAAGTGGGGAATATCGGCCTTTGAGGTGGCTCATGCCTGTAATCCCAGCACTTTGGGAGGCCAAGGCAGATGGATCACCTGATGTCAGGAGTTTGAGACCAGCGCAACTAACATGGTGAAACTCTTTCTATTAAAACTACAAAAACTAGCCGGGTGTGGAGGCACATGCCTGTAATCCCAGCTACTTAGAAGGCTGAGGCAGGAGAATTGCTTGAACCCAGGAGATGGAGGTTGCGGTGAGCCAAGATTGTGCCACTGCACTTCAGCCTGGGCAACAGAGTGAGACTGTCTCAAAAAAAAAAAAAAAAAGAAAGAAAAAGAAAAAGAAAAAAAACACAGAGAGAGAGAGAGAGATCATGGGGAATATGCTGAGAGTGGTCCTCATTGTCACTGATTCTGTTGAACCCTGGACCCTCACCCACCCACTGGAAATGGTCAGTGTTTGGAAAACTCTGTCCCTACCGTGAAAGCTCTCTCTCTCTTTCCCTCCCCCACAAAGAGGCTCCCTTATTTCTCACTTTACATACCGGCCCGAGCCCTCCCGCTGCTTCTGCCTTATCAGCACTCCCCAGCTCCCCTCCCGCTGCTTCTGCCTCATCAGCACTGCCCGGCTTCCCGCCGCCCAGTTTCTGCCTCATCAGCTCTCCCCAGCTCCCTGCCGCCCAGCTTCCCGCCTAGCGGTTCAAACTGACCAAACGTTGCCCACCACCTCAGCTTTCTCACTTCCCACTCCCTCGGCCCTTCAGCCTCCTATAAAACAACCCTACCCCTCTGAGCGGCGCGGCCATTTTTCCTTTTCGTCCCGGCTGGCACGCCCGGAGGCTCTTTTCTCTCAATAAAGCCTGAACTTAAGGAATTTCTTCTAGCCTGCGGTCCGGTTTCTTTCCCAATGAGCCCAGTCTTCCCGCAGAGGGTAGGTCGGACAGTCAGGAGAAGCATGTACACCCTGTGGCACAGTGGTGGGCTCTCTAATATGGTTTACTGTCAACCAAGTTACTTTGACAACCACTGCTGACCCTTCATCTGCTGGGCAACATACGTGGTACACGACCCCTTTATAAAAACCAAGAGCTGCCTTGTTTCCTAACTGTCTAAACGAATTGACTAGCATTATTCTAATAGAAGACCATCTTCCCTTGCAAGTACCCACTACTTTTTCTTCCTTAGTTATAATCTGTCACTACTAACACCAGCTGTTGCCTGTGAAGCGAACTTTCTCCTACAATGGGCCCCAGACTCTGCTGGTGGCTTACAGAAAAGCACCTGTCAGGCATGGGCCTCACGACACCCTCTAGGGCTTCTGGCCTGCTGTGGTGGTTAGCTCCCTTTCAAGAACAGGATTGAATAAAATATTAGGAATAGACCACTGTTTCCCAAAATTAGATAATCGTATTGAATACAAGTTTGACTAGAAATAAAATATCCCAAGGAGCCATTAATGATATTCTTCCCTTTTTTATTTATTCATTTTATTTATTTTTTATTTTTGAGACAAAGTCTAACTCTGTCACCCAGGCTAGAGTGCAGTGGCGCAATCTTGGCTCACTGCAACCTCTGCCTCCCGGGTTCAAGCCATCCTCCTGCCTCAGCCTCCTGAGTAGCTGGGATGACAGATGTGCCCCACCATGCCCGGCTAATTTTTTGTATTTATGGTAGAGATGGAGTTTCACCGTGTTGGCCAGGCTGGTCTTGAACTCCTGACCTCAGGTGATCCACCTGCTTTGGCCTCCCAAAGTGCTGGGATTACAGGCATGAGTCATGCTGCCCGGCCTAATGCTATCCTTTCTGAAAAGGAGCATAAGGAGAGTTTTTCTGTCAATGAGACTAGCTGAGTCACTCTTCAACTGGCAACACCCTAAATAGAGAACAAAACAACCTGCTACCCAAATGCAGCCTGTGTTTATTCGGTCAATTCCATCTTTTGGCCATGTTAGTCAACCTGTTCCTCAGGGTTGGGAACAAATGAATCATTCTAAAGACACTTGACCAAATTGCACAAGGGTTATGTGATGGACACAAAGAAACTGATGTTTATATACTATACTATAATATGACAAAATACTCACTAGGCATGTTACAGAATGGGCACTGTGTCCAGGAATCTATTGATTGGCCCCAAATGGAACTTCCCAGATATATGGCACCAATTTATGGCCTTGGTGACCCCCTGCATGTTTAGGAAGGTGTTCTTTGGGTTATACATGGGCACAGGCTGAATAGTTCACACACTTACAAAGCCTCTCAATCTCCCTCATTTGACATCTCACTGGTCCTGATCTGTTTTTTTATTGGTATGATTGTTTGGCCTCCATTTTTCTTCCTCCTCTGTAAGATATTATCTGGCATGTAGAAACTCTACAAAGCCTGTAATCCCTGCACTTTGGCAGGCTAAGGTGGGTGCATCAGTTGAGGTCGGGAGTTTGAGACCAACCTGGCCAACATAGTGAAATCCCATCTTCACAAAAAGTACAAAATTAGCCTGGTGTGGTGGCATATGCCTATAATCCCAGTTACATGGGAGGCTGAGGCAGGAGAATTGCTGGAACCGGAGAGGTGGAGATTGCAGTGAGCCAAGATTGTCCTACTGAGCTCCCACCTGGGTGATAGAGTGAGACTCTGACTCAAAAAAAAAAAAGAAAGAAAGAAAGAAAGAAAAAGAAAAAGAAACTCTACAAAGTATACAAAGTATGCAAAGAAAACTTTAAATGATAGCTGCAGGAGAATCTCTCTCTCTCTCTCTCTCCTCTCTCCTCTCTCCTCTCTCTCTCTCTCTCTCTCTTTTGAGAGAAGTCTCTCTCTGTTCCTCAGACTGGAGTGCAATAGTATGATCTCAGCTCACTGCAACCTCCGCCACCCGTGTTCAAGCGATTCTCCTGCCGCAGCCTCCCCA